AACTTTCAGAGGACCTAATCAAGATTCTCAAACCTCTGAAGAATGTGACAACGCTCATGAGCACAGAAACGTCCCCATCAGTGTCCATGATCATCCCTCTGCAGAAGATGATACTAAAATCCATGACACCAAATGAAGAGGAGGACAGCGCCACCATCAAAGATGCCAACGCAGCCACCAAAGACCTGGAAAGTAGATATGGGAACCCTGAGCTTCAGGACTATCTGCACAGAACCACAGCCCTGGATCCAAGATTTAAGTCCCTGCCCTACTTGGAAGAAGCCTCTGTTCAGAAAATCTACAGTGATGTTACCAGGGAAATCATGGAAATAAAAGAGCAGGTATCTTTCTTTTTTATTATTGTAATTATTGCTCAAACGTATTTAATTATCATTGCTACTTCTCTGTTGTTTTTTAAAGAATAATAAGAGTTTTTGTTACTTTGCTGCTATGAAAGTGTTTGTTGTCAGCGTTATTTTTAAAACTACTCTGCAATTTGTCATTTTATCATGCAGGGTCAACCCAGAGAAGCCCAGGTGGACAGTTCATCCTCAGCTGGGAATCCAGAGGCATCAGGGAAGTCATCTCCTCCCCAGAAAATTTCTGCCATAGCAGAGCTTTTTGGAGAGCTCTTTCCAACAGAGAGAGAAACCACAAAGCCTTTGTCCCAGATCATTGAGGAGGAGGTCATGTCATACAGGGTCACAGGCTACATCTCTGTGGATGCAGATCCCCTTGCATGGTGGAAGAGCAAAGAGCATAAATATCCTCACATTGCTAAGTTTGCCAGATGTTACCTCACAGTCCCAGGTTCATCTGTACCAAGTGAGAGAGTTTTCTCTACAGCAGGGGACATTGTCACTGCAAGTAGATCTCATCTCTTGGCAGAGAATCTGGACAAACTGATCTTCTTGCAGAAGAACATGATAGTACGATGAGCAGAGTTATGTGAGAGAGTGCGGGAGAGCGCAGGATCTGTTAAGTTTGGTTTATGCTGCATTTTATATTGATGACCTCTTAATTTGGATTATTTATTTCATTTTGTTTAGACTTTAGATAACACGGCGACACTTTAAGCTTGATCAAAACTACAGCCTTATTTCTTTGATTGTATTTCACACACTTCACTGCACTTCAATTTCAAGTGAAAAATACTGAGCCTTTCATGAACCACTAATAATCAGGGAGTTGAAACATGTTACATGTTACGAGAAACATGTTGTTTTTGTGTTGATTTTATAAGGATATAAGTCTAGTGCTGATAGAGCCTATGCTTCACTTTATGTTGATGGTATATATTGTGGTTTTTAAAACAGTAGTTAAATTCTTTTGTATGCACTAATTCAAGGGTCAGAGCTGTAAGAGCCGTTTTACTTTTTGTTTAGATAGATAGAGATATCCTTTGCCAAGTAAATGTAAAGCATGTTGGAACTATGTCTCCTCTCTTGCACTGCCAGAATGTCACCTACCTTTAACCTAAGATTGTCACAATGATGTATCAAATGTCAGACTGCCTCATTCTTTCAGTTTACTATACAAGATGTAATTGATTTTTGTGACAGTTAATGTATACCGAACCGAAAACCATGACCACGCCTAACGCCCATTGACCTGCTTTTGGACAGGGCAGAGAGGGCATCAGTGAATTTCTCTGATTAAGGAGTGGTTCCTACTACATCTAAGACGGTTCTACTACTCCCTGCACACTCGCTGACTTACACACAAGCCTGATTACCTTGTTTTACAAAAGCCACTACAAGGGAGTGTCAGTGGACCCAGTCCATCGAGCCAGAGGGGAATTCTACCAGGCTGCATAAAGGCAAGACTAAGACGGTTGACACGCCTTTAGATGAGTTAAGATTCACTTTGAGGTTAACCACCATGAGTGCAGCATAATTTCTGTGTGGGAATCCTAAGGTAATAATAATGAAATGGGTGGTGGTCATTAGCAGAACCATACCACTGAAAATCCAGGTATTTGGGCGGACATTAGTCATGTGCATCACCAAAGTATCACTTTCACTCATGAAAAACCAGAGTAGAAGTAGAAACACCACAAAGAGGAAAAATGTGAAAACTGATGCAGTATAAGTGTAGTCATACTAATTTTGTGAAGGTTGTGTGTGTCACCTTACAGCAACTTCACACAGGATTTATGGTGACAGGAGCCTTCATAGTGGAACATTGACCTTAATGTTTCTTTGCTCCATGAATGTGGAACATGCGGCGTATGTTAGCAAGCTGAAAACGTGCCAATCACAGCAACACACCTCTCTTTCAGCTCTAATCTTCTGCAACCACACCCAGTACTACTGTAGCCGAAGGGCAAACTGGCACAGCGGAGGCAAAGCTGAACTTGAAGGTGGCACTGCCTTGCATATTTCTCTGCTGCTTTCATTCACGGTAAATGATAGGGTAGATCTTTGCGTGTTTGTGTGTTTTTGCACCCAAGCAAACTTTAAACATGCATTTTTTTAATCAAAGTGTATCAGCTTGTGGAGTCTTGCGAATGGTACTCTCTGTGCACCTGTGAGTATGTTTGTGTGTGAGGGGTTAATTTTTGGGACCAGCATCAGAGAGCTGGCTGTTAATGAGCTCTGGGAAAGATGTGCCACACCCTAGCAACAAAACCTGCATCTTGAATGAACACAGCCAGACTGAAAAAAATAAAATCAAAATGGGATTTTACTGTAAAGTAACGAAACCTGCACGGACTTCAACAGTCTGCACTCAGAGTGGAAACTGCCCAACAAGCCTGATTGATGTAATGTGCTTTTATTGAAACATTTTTTCCTCCTCAGCAAAACACTCACTAGCTGTGTCAAAAAGAGCACATGCCCAACTGTCCTCTTCACCACTAAATATCTGCGCATTGCACTTTAGCACTATCATAAAGCTAAACCATCATTATGACAGTCTGCTGCACAAGATTGACCAAATAGACTTTAAAGGAAAGATTATCTACAAACTGTTACCAAACTAAATTTTTTGATTCAGGTATGTTGCACAAATCTGTAAAACTTAAAATTGTGTTGACTTATGGACACTGTTGATTTCATTGCTGTCTTGTACTCTGTACATATTTGTACACTCTCAGTAACTCATCATCTGTTATTTCTTAACACATCCGTGTGTCTAGTTAAGGACAACACACAATGTGTTGTTTTGACACATGACTTTGTGTTGACAGATTTTACACATGTTGTGTGTTAAATGCGTCAACACATCAACTGTGTTGGGTTTACACAAAGATAACACAGAGCTGTGTCATATTTTCATGCAATTTACACATAGCTGCGTTATGTATTCTTCACACAAAAATGTTTTATTTTCATACAATTTACAAATTGCATTGCGCTTTACATTGGATACACCACTCATTCGCTCACACAGTCACACTTTGGTGGTGGTAAACTACCTTAGTAGTCACAGCTGACAGACTGACGGAAGTGTGGCTGCCATTTTGCGCCTACAGCCTTTTCGACCACCACCACACAACACTCACAATCATAGACCAGTGGAGGACACACACCGGGAGCAAGGTGGGTTAAGTGTCTTGTCCAAGGACACAACGGACAGAGTTGGAATGGGGGGGAATCGAACCGCCAACCTTCCAGTTATTGGACGATCGCTCTTACCTCCTGAGCCACTGCAATTATCTACTAAGTTACCAAACCTGGTCACTAAAAACAATAAACAATTGCTTGAATCTCAAGTTACTTTTATAACATTTATTTGGTTCAGGCAGCAGTGCAAAATCTTGGACTTTGTAAGACTTTAGTGCAAACTTGAGAGCAAAACATAGTGCAAACACAGAGTATAAGCATTAAACATTTTGTAAACATTTCATTCTTAAATCATTAGTGCAACAATGGAACACCTAAAATACATACATGGCATGTCAAACAACCGTCCCCTGCAGCTCGAGGCTGTGCGCTGGGCCAGGTTACAACGGCGTTACTCCCGTGGCGTGTAGTTTGAGTTGCAAATGTAAATGTGCCTCTCACACACAGAGGGTCTGTGTGAGTGCAGACCAACTCCTCAGCGAGCTTGAGTATTAGCCTGTAGCTGTTAGCACAGCCGCCATTATTGCATTTCAAAGCCATCAAAGGCAGTGCTGCCCCCAGGAGGATCAAAGAAGGGATTACACAACATGATTTTTTCCAGAGCTGGTTCATGTGGCAACTTTCTCAGTGCATTGCTCCAATCCACACCCCTAAATTAGAGCTACAAGCTTCCATGACCCAGGGTCACCCAGCCAGGGACCATCCAGGTGTCTGAGTACCTACAGAAATGGGACTTGTATATTTGGATTTATTTCCCCCCGAAATAGAACTTAATATTTTATTTTTATTGAGTTAAAATAGTACAACCCAAACCATAGTCAATTAAGAGAACCATACGTCTGTGTGTGAGGAAAGGTATACTCCTGTCTTCAGGGCACCGTGCTACTCAAGAATCTGGTCTCAGATACCAGTTCAGTGGCCTTGTGGTCCACCCTGAGACTGGGTGTTTGGAGGTTTGATTCCCCTGCTGAGGGGCTTCCTCCCTCTCAAAAAATTAAAAATAAATAAAGAAAAAAGTTACAGAATTTATTAAAAAAAAGATGATTCCAGAATTATTCAAAAGTAGGACAATTAATAAAGCCACTGCTTGGTTAAAAATAACACTGGCAGGTGTTTTCATTAATAACCTCTTTGACCTAGCAGTGGCTAACACATGTTGTGTTTAATTCACATGATAACTATTTTATGTGTTAAAATAGCATTAACTCAAAAGTATGTCTAGGATAATAACACAGGATGTGTAAATATAACATAACAAATGTTAAAATTTAAAATATAACACAAAAAATGTGTATTATTTTAACACATTCATTTTGAGAGTGTACAAGCTGCCTCATAAATTCAAGAAATAAAGAAACAGCATGTTAGAACACCTTTACATTTGGCAAAACTTCTCATTTACAGATGCTGACTGGCTTGCATGGCTTATCAATAGGGATGCCTCATGGGTCAGTGCTTGGTCCGCTCAGCTTTTTTTGTATAACATCTACTGTCAAAGTTTAGCAAGACTTACGACAAAATATTAACTGGTGAACGGCTAGGGAATAATTTCAGTAGTTGTTGTTGAATCACAGGTGTGACTTAGAAAGTGAAAAGAGGCATCTTCATTTTACTAACTCTCGTAAAAGGTATGAGACACGAAACCGGCAGGACCGCACCAACAGCTTATATAACTAGATTCACCTCAGGCTAATGAGCATGTTCAGTACCTTAAAACTGCATGTGTCTTGACAGTTAAAGGGAATGCACGTACAGTACAGATTTTTTTATTAAATCACTTATGCCGCTGTGCGTGTATGAGTGACACGTCTGAACTGAGGAGGGACTCATCATCTGTGTACCTGTTCTCTCTCAGAGCATGAGGCAACTTGCTAAAGTTTAAGTTCACATATCTTTTATCGTCATCTTGTGCAGCTGCATAGTCACTATCCCCTATAGAGCAGGCTGCCCTGAAGCTGTGATTCACCTAAGAGTTTACCTTTCTTTACCTTAAAGGTCTCTGCTCTTTTACACAAGGACCAGCATTGTTAAAATGTCGGGGAAAAAAAGCCTTTGAGTTTTATACATAAGAATATCTTAACCCCTGGTAACCATTCAAAATTTAAACCTTAAATTATGAATTTTTTTGGGGGACTAAAGTCTTTGTTGATTAACAGTTGCAAAAAAGCAAGTCAGCATTTTCACTTTGTGTATCATAGTGCACATTTACAGGCTCTTGTAATTCATTGAGGTCAAAATATGCAACACAAGCTGCGAGCCCTCTCCCTTCCTTCTTGTTTAACTTATATTTAACTATATATTTTGTGTGCAAAAGATGTTTTCTCAGGTAACTCAATACCCATGCAAACTTTTTAGTTTGCATCAAAAATATTATAGATGTGTGCCCTTACCTGCAACCTCTTTGGGCCCATCATTGCCCTGACTTGCTGTATCTTGAGCAAGGTACATCAGAAGTATTGTCATTCTTTACTCTTTACTGAATGACCCCATTGGTACTTAAATTTTTGGACCCCCGGTTTTATTCACATCATTAGTTTTATAAAAAGTCAGTATTTTGTGGTGCTAGATCATACAAGTACTCAGTTTGATACCTAGTCCTATTGCTTGTTTTTATTGGTACACTGAGTTATTTATTGTTTAAATTCCAAACTGTCATAGTGTCACTCCCTGAAATAGCTGAGGGTTATTAATGGGATGTCCTTAACAGTACAGAATGAACACCTGCAACCATAGGCACTTCAAGTGGATTGCTCTGTCAGCTTATATTCAAGTCTGAATGAATGTGGGTGTATGGCGCTGGGGGCATATTTGGCTCATTAAGACATGCTTGCTTCTTATCTGGAAATTCTTAAGTGTTCAGCATTACCTTTAACCTTCATGTGTTTCTGTATGTTTCTTGGAATACTGCACAAAGAATTGGGGGTGACAATGCTAGAAGATGCACCCGTGTTCATTTCTGCCGCTAGAAAGTTAAGAGACATGATGTAATAGCCTGCAAGCGAAATTGAGAAACTTGAACAGCGAGATACAATATGTTTATTGTCTTTTTTTTCCTGTTTGCATGTGTGTATTTGCTCTTCCAGAAGTTTCAGACACTTTTATTGCTCAGAAGTAGTGTTGTCATGGTTTTGGCTCTGTGTCATTTGGTATCAGATCCAAGCTTGAGGGCAAGCTCAAAATTGACAGCACAGATGGTTGTGTTAAGTTTGACTTTGATAAAATAAAAATCGAACACTCTTAAATAAACAGCACAACCATTGAATTTCCCTTCAGAGATCAATAAAGTTTCTCTAAATCAGTATGAATCTGTCATATTAGCTAAAAAGAGGAAGGGAGTAGTTGTTGTTTTACACACACACACACACACACACACACACACACACACACAAAGAAAACAACTTTATTGATGAACATTCAATGGTTAAAACAAACCAACAAATGGTGGATCACATTTATCATATGTCAAACCAAGATTCTAGTTTAAAAGGCCACTTTATGAACAGAAGAGGGTGAGCAAGGGAGAGTTTCAATGTGGAGTCTGACAACTAGATTATTTGGTCAGAATAAACACTATTTTCACATTATGCTTGTAGTGCGACTAAGAGCTGTTTGCAAACATAAGGTCTTGAAAAGATGAGGATGCTACAGTCATAGCTCAAATAGACAGATTAACTGGACTGCTGTCGTGGTCCAAGTTGACATGTAATGGGCAAGAATTGAATTACTGATGGAACCATGTCCACCTTTGCTATGTTAGGTGGTGATGTACTCCCTTTTAGCTAGTTACTGTCAGGTTGTCTCTCAGTTGTTGTGTTAGGTATCAAAACAGCTGGTAAACCGCGTTAGGAAGAAGCTAACAGGATATCAGTCTTTACAGCTCTGTTTGGAAAGTTTGGTCTTGTTTACATCATTTCTTTGTCTGACAAGATTTTCTTTACTGCCTACAAGACTGTGGGCATCTCAGGGTTTTTTCACCTTAGGTCAACACCTCAAGGTAACGTGAAGAATGCAGTCGGTTCCTGTAAATGAAAGAAAGTCACCAAAATCCAAGTATTGTTTGGCTCAGATATAGCAGCAACTATTACCTGGGCCAAGCCTTGCTGCTGTCCTCTTATTTAACAAGTCTCAACACTTCCAGTCTTTTGTTTCTTGCTCTCTCTACTCTCATTAAAATAAGGGAGTTGGGAAGGTAGAGTATACGTTTCTATTTCACATCCTGCTGGAAACACTTTATTTTTAATGTGTTATGGATGTTAGGGACCATGTGGTCAAGCAGGTATCACTACCTGGAGCTCATGTGGATTTAGCCTTGGTCTGCTGAATGTGAGAAGGCTGTATGGGTTGGGTTATAACATAGACAGCAATAATGTTGAATACTGAGGGCTGATATGGAGGGGTTGGTTCTGGGATGCCAGAACTAACTGCAAAGTCTCTCTGAGGTGTCATGGGCCTCACTTAACCTAACTAACTTAACTTATAATGAAAGGAGAGTGCTGTCTTAATAACTCCAGCGATGTGGCTCTCACTTTCCATCACTTTCCATCATTGGGCTGTATGGGACTTCAGGTCATCAGTCGTGAGTGTAATTGGATAGGTTTGTCCACTGAGCACTCATCATTCTTATGAAAGCATGTTTTTATCCTGAACACTTAAAGGGATATTCAAGCGTAAAATTAAGTTAGGGTCAAACACACTGTAACACCGAGTTAGACACCCCCTTGAGAGATAAGTGTTGTTTGTAGGGAGAGCTCGGACTAGTCCATCACTGAGTGCAGCGGGGTGATGCAGCTCAAGGAAGACCACTTATGATCATTACTTTATTATTTCCTTGAAGTAATAATTATTATAATAATCATTTTCGCTCTGCAGACGCCATAGTTTTTCTGTCTTAGCATCTTGGTCTGATTGCATTTCCATGAAGAAATGATCAGAAGTGTTCTTCCTTAAGCTGCATCAACCCGCTGCTATGCAGTTGGTGATGGACTCGTTCGAGCTCTTCCTACAAACAAGCGGCTGCTGGAAGAAAGTGGGTGAGTTGTGTTTAGTCTCTTTGCTTAAGAAATTAGGCAAAGTTAGAAAGATGTTTGGTGGCTAGTACTATGGCTGGGACCCTATATGTACTGTTTTAATGAAGTTAGGTGCTGTTCTGAGCATTAATTGTGGCTATAAAGTGGCTTTTTGATTGAGGTTTGGGCGTGGAGGCATAGAGCGCTGTGTATCGCTATCATGCGGTCATTGCTAAAGTTGGTATAACTGAAGAAGCAAGCAGTCGACAACATTCATCTTTCGAGGGGGTGTCTAACTCAGTGATACGGTGTGTTTGACCCTAACTTAATTTGACACCAGAATATCCCTTTAAGGGCCCCACCTGTGTGAAGACATTGGTCAACTAACATAGTGGCTGTTTTTGTTGACATGGGAGTAAAACAATGCTTTGTTGTCGTGAACCTTACAAGTGGAACAACAGCACCATCTTAAACATGTTGTGTTACCATGGAGACCAGTCCCTACATGTTGCATAAGATGCTACAACAATACAAGGCTTCTTTTATAGAGTGATAGGTGTTAATGAAGTCCATTCAGCAGTTGTCACTGTTTACGCACCTATTATCCCTCTACTTGTTGTAGTTGGCAGATGTTTGACTTTTGATAGTAAGAATTAAATTTGTAGCGTCGATGCTCAGATGGCTTGGAGTGCCTTTGTTTGCCGAGATGGCATTTAAGCTTAGCCCCATTCCACATATGCCTCACCCTACCCCACACCTTTCAAGAAGCTCACCCATCAATCTGCACCCAAGATACCTAATACTAATTACTACCCCTTAGTTTGTGATAAATCTGCTCTGTGAAAATGTCAGCGAGGAATCCTTATGTCTGACACTTATAAGAGTCTCTCAAAGAGTGTTTTAAGATGGAGAAACCAAAAGACATGATAGTAGAACCCTCACCTAAATGAGGTGACATGGAAAGCAGCTACTGGAACGAGGACAACGGCCTATTTTTGAGAATAAAAATGCATAAATGGTTTGAATTAATTTAAGTCTTTGTTTGCACAATCATGGGTATAATGTTTGATTGTTACACAAATTATGGAAAATGATGATAGGGATGTGAGTGACTTCCTTGTCATTTTGAAGTTGTTTAAAAAATAAAACAAACTGGTCAAGTGCATAAGTAAAGCAAGGGCTAGGGCCTTTCTCTTCTCCACATATCACTATCTCTTCCTGTGAACTTTCACTCTGGCATGCGCCTTGGCAGGAGTTTTCAAAATGTGATGGTGGACTGATTTATGATCATAGCTACTTTCACCACCGCCTCTTTATGGAGGCTTGGTGTCCTGAGGCAACTGTAGGGCCAGCTCTGTCAGGAAAGAATGCCAACCACCCTAAGGTAAAATCACTTCTCCTACAATAATGTAAGAAAGTGCTATAGATTTTTCACTCCTTTTCCTCCTCCAATCATAGCTTGTTTCACTCATTACGCCTCTAACATATCCCAAGAGGTCTGCCAGGTTTATCTAAAGGTAGCAAGTAATTAGTTGCATGCCACTGGAGTCACTTTCACTGAGTGGGTAGCCTTTGGCTGTTCCACATATGTCTGAATTTCATCTTTTCATTTTGGATGTAGCCCTTTCTCAGGATGCACTTTTTGTAAAGTAGAACTGCATCTGATGAAGAATTTAGCATCATACCAAAACATAAGAAATTTGGAAGCTTTTTTAAATAAGTTCTGCAGCTTGCAGTGCATTGGTGATTGAGGGCATGCTTTACTGTAATGCTGTAATCCCAGAAATCACACCAAAGTGTTTATGTATCTGAATCCCTTTAGAAATGACTCTCAAGATTGGATTCTCAGAAGTGTTGGTTTGCTTGCCAATAGCATCACAAATACTCATTGGTTCCCACCACCAGCCCAATGTCAAGGGTGGATCAGGAGAAAAGTAACTCAGCAAAGGCACACCCATGAAGTTTTGCAGCTCAGCAAGATTTACCTTTGTCATGCACCTTCATTGTGGAGAAAATCTGTCAGCACCTCAAGTCTGTGACATCCACTCACATCTACGATTAGCTTTCAAGGGGAGTGAATGCCATAAACTGAAAAACATGCACTTAGTTTATCATAAAAATAACATTGTGTATCATGTCAGAATGTTTTGAGCCACGCAAGGGTTAAACCAAGGTTAATTGTAACTGATTAGCTTTGTATTAGGATATTTTGCACTTCCAGTCCTTGCCGGTAGGGGGAGTGTTGTGTACAGCCTGTTGACAACACTGTGGACTAAAGGCTGGCAGTGAAGGATAACAGATGAAAATTATCGACCAGACGGATGTGTTTGAAATCAGTTTGGTTTGTTTAGCTTTTGTAATTTGATATTGTTTGTCCACCCTTGTGTGTTAGCTGGCCTGAATCCTGCATCAAATCATTACAATGTGCTGTGCTTTTGTTAATCAGGATTTCTTCAATGGTACCTTGTTGGTATAAACAATCAGTGTATGTTCTTTTGAGTCAAGTCCTGACTCAGTGATATGATACCGGATGCACAGCTTGGGCCTTCTGCAAACACCAAGGACAGTTCCTACAGATAGAAAGCTATCGTACACCATCCTGAATGAGGACCCGAGACTGTTTCCAATACCAAAATGTGTGTCCCCTAAACTTTTAGGTTTATGTTCCTGGCAGCCTTGACCCATTCTTTTGTTGTTGTTTGCACTGTTTTTGCACATTGTTTGCACTGGCATTATCAATGAACTTTGTTAAACACAAGTAACATGTCAAGAGTAACATGGATACAAAACTGTTGAAACCTTTGCCTGATATCTGGGTGTCAACCACCAAAAAAAAATAGCCAAATAAAGGTTGTTGTTGTTGTTGTTTTTTCATTTGTTTGTTATTGTTTTTGTTGCAGTGTTGACACATTAGCATGAAAGAGGCAAATTTTAATGCATAATGGCAAAGTCATATTCATAAATCAACACGGGAGGAACAAGTTGCTTTTCACTGTGCAGTTCAGCAGGGACTTTGTCTTATCCTTTACATGTTCTCATTTGTATTTTGTCTGATATGCAGAAATTAAGTGCATGCTAAGGCCATGTGATCCTTCTGGGATTTCACTCCTCAAAATTTTCCGTGCATTATAAATTTACAGAATACACAAGGGAGGGGTTTAATCATGTGAACCAGCAGAGGAATGGTTACTATTTAACATATGTATAGGAGTGGCTGTTGACTTTGCAAAAGATGCAGGGCAGGTCTCTCCTTTCTTGTCATTCAGATTCCTTCTCATGGGAACTTGACACCATTAGTGCCAACTAGTCATCAAAGCTCACCAGCAACTCATTTTTTTGGCAGCTGATTGCGTCTGAAGTTGGTTGTAAAGGCTAGTTTGTCTTTCACAAAGCGGTGATTCAAAGTGTGTCACAGACAAGACGACAGACCGACAAGGACAATGAGTTAGTGCAGTGATCACTTTTAACAGGTGTTTTCTGTCTGCTTTTGTTTCCCATCAGTCACAGAGTTGGTAGATCTGTAATAAAACCAGACCACTGGCCAATCAAAACAAGCACAATACCAGACCTTGAAATATCCACCTGCCAAATCTTGCAGACAGCTCTTAAAGTTCAACAGAATTGCTTCCATTGATACATGTATTTGAATCATCTTAGAAAAAACAAGCATTTGTTTTCAAAGAAAATGTGTCATCAATCCTTTGGCTGCAAGACTCTCTCTTTTTTTTTTTTTTTTTTTTTTTAAGGAAAAGTGTCTGCAAAGAGCAGCAGCAGAAAGACGTAAGTGGTAACCTCTGCTGACCCTGATGGCGCTGATGAAACTGCAAAGATTGGGCGGTGTCTGGGTGTTGGAGAAACACGCACAACAACAACATGAATGAACTGGAGGCAGAGAACGAGTCATACAAAAAAAGGCATGTGTAAAATTAAGGCGTAACATAAAGGTGTGTTGCAGTTTTATTGGATAGATGTGACCGGGTGATGCAGCCAGACAATGGTACTAGAAGTTGAGTAAGCATGCAGAAAGGAATGACTTGGAGGTTGTGTAAGAAATATAACAAAGGCCTGTGTGCAGAGCTAAGTGTGTCAGACTAAATGTTTGCGAGTCATTTGCAGATTTAAAGTGTGAAAACAATTTTAACAGTCAGGTTGGCCGAGGCTGAGAGGGTACATCCACTGAACTATAGATGGGTTTCTTGGCTGGTTCACTGTTTGCAAACTGGCAGAGTTGGAGTTAGACATTTTCTAGAGTAAAAACTCTGATGTTTGCATGAATGTAAAGGTTGAAATGTGAAATTATTTGAAATCTTGGAGAAAAAAGTACAAAGCTTTAAATTCCTGCCAGCCCTTAATGGGCCCAACATTTTGTCAAGAGTTGTGAATTTGTAGTCCCATGTCTTATCCTTTATTTGTACCAGGATAAGATGCTGAGAGGTATTGTGTGACAGTATTTTAGATTATGCTTGAAAAGGCAGCTGGTAACAGAAAAAGCCTGCCAGATACACAGCAAAGGCTGACCCAAGCTTTTTCCCCATACCGGGTCTTATGTCAAGTTTCAATAAAACGGTACTATACTAAAAAGAGTCTGTAGAGTGCTGGTTTGAATGCAGAGCTTCTTCAATTCCAGTGAAGTAACCAGCGATGGGGGTGGTGCAAGTCTCAGCATGTTGGTTGCGGGAAGCTACTAAAAGAGCAAGCTTGGACCTTACTCTTTTTAGCCAATGATCCAACATCAAACCACCATGAGTATGTTTTTGCAATAATCCTTGACCAAAATAGGCAAAGAAAAACTTTCTGTAGACAGGCCAAATCTACAAGCAAAACAAGACAGTCATCTCCTGCAAGTGGTTGGACTAAGAAAGTGGAAAAGCAAGAGGTGCAGAACGGATTTTATCCTAAAATTTCTGGTGAGAGGTGAAAGAAAAAGATGAAAACCATTGTTAAAAATCAACCCCCTAACCTGTTGCTATAGTTTATTTAGGCACGTTTACTTAGACCAGTATCCAGGATGAGGTGAAATCAAAACAGGTTGAAAGATAAGTCAGTATTGCAATGTGGGCATGAAAGATATTGCGCAGTTTATCTCTAAAGAGCCTAAAGAGCACTCATACATGCTGCAGATAACTGCCCTGAAAGACTGACGGCACTCATACTCAGAATTGATTCTTTTTATTGTTATAATCACTGTGATTATGCTTAACTTATTTGTCTCTTGCTGAATCGAAAAGACTTAAAACCTCCCTATCAACCTCTGTCTCACCTTGAAATTCCCACTCAACAAATTAACAGCAAATCACATAACTCTTTTTTTCTTTCAGCACAATAGATGAAACAAACATGCAGATGACAGAGATGCTTTGCGTAAGCAAATGCAGGTACCTTGGTTGGTATCACAATAGCATTTTATTATATATGCTAAGCACTGTGATAGTGAAGCATTGTTGCTTTAAATTTTTGTTTTGTCTCCATAGTACACACTTCAGTTTTTGTACTGTACCAAACAGTCATAGTGGTTTGGAGATCTCATTTCTGAGTTATGCCTCACACCCATTCACACCCATACTCACACCCACAAACATGCACCCACACCGCAAGACTAGACTAGTCTAGATTACATTTTCCTCTGCTATTGGAAAATAAAGCTGTATAAAACAATTGTAAAGTTAGCTTAAGATGGATTTGTGTGCCCTGAAAAATGCATTTGATTTTTATTCACAACTCTTGGGTCGATGATCTTTTCGCTTTTGTAACCTCCCTCATAGCACAAGCAGCCTCAAACAGGCTCTGACAGGAATTAAACCTGCCTGAAACCCTTTAAGAGTCACTTTTCTTTCCTCTCATCAGCAGTCATATCAAACTCGTTTCATACTTGGTGAGTTACGCTCATGCTTTGCCTGAACCTGCTTTCTGTCGGTGGTGGCAGAAACAAGCTTTGCCTACAGGCACCAATCAAAAAAGTAGCATAAGCTTTAATGACTGTGTTGGGTGAGTCTGATTTAGGACAAAAGACAATGAAAGAAGTGAGATGATTTCTTCCATGTGTCCCCTCATACTGCAGTTCTGTAAAATCATCCCAAAGCAATTTATGTTTGCACGGTTTTGGACATGGGGTCACATTTAGGCCCAATCGTGCACATATAGGGGAAGAGGAAGAAAACACCCCTGGGGAGTTATGTAACCCTTCTCATGAAGATTTTCACCTGCACTAACTGCCGTGGCTTATGATTCAAGGTTAGGGAAAGTTAATCTAAAAAAAAATCTTTGTTCAGACAAACCGCAGGCCATTTACTTTTTTTTAAGTACTTTAGGTGACAGGTAGAGACAGCAGTGTTATTTCTGTGACAGGCAATGTGACAAGACATCAATAACCCAGTATTAGTAGACAGCATTTTTTACTGACACGCTCCTGCCTCACATTTACAATTCACAAAAGGATTCAGTGTTTTGCTTCTTTTCACTGAAAGTGTCATGTGATTCCTTAATGTGGTGCAGCTCTGAAGCCCTTAACAATACATGATTGCATCCATTTTGTCACATGCATGTTTCAAGACTAAAGACAGAAGTCAATTGTCATCAGTCATTTGTAAGAACTTGAGATTAAAAAAAAGAAAAAAACAAAGGAGGAAACTGTTCCAAAGTCCCTTAAATATCATTTATGTTCTTTTCCAACAAGATTTGTAAGATATACTTTAGTGTGGTGTTACAGAAAGAACGTAAAACCATGAGAAAAAAAGTCTGTGACTCACGAACAGGAAAGGAAATGAATGACTAAGAACATTTCAGGATGAAACAACTTCTTGGATGGCCTTTATGGTACCTTAAGTCAGCAGCTTGTGTTTCTGAGGCCACACTCACACTCTGTTTGATTATTGTGAGTGTGAGTTCTCCACAACACATCCCAGTATGGTACACTTCCCTGGTCCTGGCACAGTTAGGAGAGGTAGCCTTTGGCATGTACAGTTACTCCTGCATGGCACAGTGAAGCATTTGAGTTTCATTTTTCCGGTCACATTTCAACCAGGTGTCACATAGCAGTAAAGATAAACATCCATCAGTCCATCCATTCGATTTCTTCCGGTTATCTAGGATCAGGTTGCAGAGGCAGCAGTCCAAGTAAGCCACCCCATATCCTCTCTTCAGTGATACTTTCCAAAGTGTTCCCAGGCCAGGTGTGATATGTAATCCGTCCAGCAGGCTCTGGGCCTACCCCAGGGTCTCTATCTAGTTGGACATGCCCTGATTACCTCTAAAATGATGCGCATAGGAGACACCCTTATCAAATGCCTGAAACCAACTCAACTGACTCCCTTCTAAACCAGGTAAAAGGGACTCAACACCAAGCTTTCTGCAGATGTCGGAGCTCCTAACCCTATTTCAATGGCTGAGCCCAGCCACCCATTGGAGGAAACTTGTTTTTGCTGCTTGTATCTGTGATCCCTTCAGTCACATCTCAGCCCTCATGACCATTGTTAAGGTTTGGAATGGGCAACTGGGCCTTGTAGGAATGCACACTAAGTTGTATCCTAGTTTGTCATATTGCATTACTAAGAAGCTAGCTAATAGGTTTTTATGGAGTTTAATTGGATAAGATAAGAATTACCTGGTCAGGGGCTTGGATCAGGGTTTAAAAATTGATCAATGTTCTCGGTTACCCTGGTCATGGTAATCAGAATCCAAGAGGCACCTGGGCTAGGCCATAGTTCTTTAAGACAGTTAGACTCCCATTCTCCTTTAGATATATCCTCAGATATTTGTCCATTTTAACATAAAAGCATCAGATAAGTGTTACAGATTTGTTTGCTACACATCTGTGATGTGAATCTCCCATTGTACCGCATCTCAAAGGTGCTCTTTTTGACTGAGATCTGGTCACTATGTAGGCCACTGGAGTTAAATGATGTTAAATTGCTCTAATCCAGCTGCTTCAAGGTTGAACGTTTTGTGGGTTCAGAGATGGTGCACCCTGGTTGTGAAGAGTGGCTAGAACCAGTCTACCCATTCTCTTCTTCTTCTTCTTCTTCTTCTTCTTCTTCTTCTTCTTCTTCTTCTTCTTCTTCTTCTTCTTCTTCTTCTTCTTCTTCTTCTTCTTCTTCTTTGTCTTCCTCAACTGCTGCACACTGGGTATTTTCTCTTTTTTGGACCATTCTCTATAAACCTGAGAGATAGTTGTGCATGAAAATCCCAGTATATCAGATGTTTTTGAAATACTTAGTCTAGCCCGTGTGGTACCAGCAACCATGCCATGATCAGGACCAGTTAAATCCCCTTTCTTCCCCATTCTGGTGCTCTGTTTGAACTTCAGCAAGTCATTTTGATCAATAGAACAGGAACAGTTTTTACCCATGATACCCACAGGATGTGCTCCATCTCAGAAGCGTCATCCCTCTATGCTATAGTTACATGCCAAGACTGTTTTCATTGGGGCCCATGCCCACCACATTGGATGAGATTGACCTACACAGGAAGTCAAGGAGAGGGAAGGCACTGACCGTCTTTTAGATCGCATAGATAAATTTAACGCTAAACAACCTTATGGTCTGTCTGTTTTCCCTGTCAACCACAACAGGACTTTTAGCAGCTAACTGTCTGCGGCTATTAGGAATGGAGTGAACTTGAGTGCAGGTTTGAAGCATTTCTGTTGTTCATTTCTGGAACAACAAGGCTTTGTATATTTTCAATATCCTGTGCATGATTGATATGCGTAACAAACACACCCAGCTTCACCACTCCAATCTGACCCAGCAAGTTTAGACCACATAAATACCAAACCTGCAGAAACGCCCAAAGCTTTTTTTCATGACAAAAATTTTCCAGAGTAGCTTAACTATAAAATGGTCCTTTTGGCTAGTGTACCCTCCCCTCAATATTATAAAAAAAACAGGAACACTTTTGGGTTGAACATTTAGTGTTAAATTTATGTTGTATTTTTAAACTGCTTTTACGTGTGCTCACTTCTTCTGACACCATTGTTATGGGTCAAATCAAAATATGAATGACAGGGAATATCCTCATGCAATACAATGAGTGAACATTGAAGAGCTGTTGGGCTGATTTTGTTTGAACTGCCAGCTCATGCATAAAATAACAACTGTCAGTTACTATTACAACATTATTTGACGCTAAAACAACCTGCTTTTTTCACTTGTTTGCTTTTCATACACACAAGAGAGTTAAAAAATAGCATCCTGGCTGCTGGCCCAGTTTCTGTAGGCACATATCAAAATGGCAAGGATTAGTACTGTTTATATGCGTGGGAAATACATGCACATTGGATAAAAAAAAGTATCCATATATCATGCAGTTTGAGTTGAGTTAGAGGTCAATCTGACACATACAGGTCACGAGCTGCCATGCAACCTGAGAGGTTGTTGATTTTGCATGGGTGAAATGAGGTGAACACTGTTACTACACACACGCAAAACTGTTTGCTTTAAGTGGACCAAATACTTTTATTTAATCAGTGTAGCCAAAACATACCCTGATGTATCCAGGGTCAACAGTTTTACTTATAGCTTACACCATTGCACAATTAGAAGACACAAATATAATCAAAGCAACAATTATGCAACATGTAAACCTGATTGTTTCTGCAGTATGATGGATCATAGTGCAGTGGTCCGACAATCCTCAGTTGGAGAACTGTACTGCAAATTCAAAACACATGCAACGACAGAAAAAAACTGCAAATGAAATAAAGGAAAAACGTCCAGGATACCAATAGATAAAACAACTGCAGTAAAAACAGACATATTGCAAATACAAAAACAATTCACTTCAAAAACCACACAAATACAGAAAAAAATATGCAAAAGAAAAACTTTGCAAACTGAGACATGACTGGGCCTTTAGGCTAGCTCTCTGTTTACTGCGTTTGTGTATTTTTAAATTTGCATTTTTTATATATTTACAGTGTGTTGACAGTAAAACCTTTCTCTCAAAACTATTTATGTCTCAGCTTTTTGCTGTGTGGTTTTCAAAGCATAATACAAATTACTTTTATGAAGTTGTTCATGCATAAAAGGGTTAAAACAAACTTCAGGAGGGAGCAGGTGTAAAGCATTGCACTGGTTTAGTCATTTAGACTTGAACCATATGAGACTGTCATTCACAAAACAAGCTAACTTTGAATAAGACTTGTGTGCTAGCTTAGACGACCTCTGCAAAGTGGTATATCCATTTTTTTGTGGAGGCATAGGGAGGGGATCTCTGGGAAATCCCATTTTATCAATGCTTGCAAAGAAGCCGACTTGCACTCCTTAATATTATCCTTACATCATATTTTGCTCCTGTGTATAAGACAAGAACTTGGTGATTGAGAGGAGAAAAGTAGATTTCACATGATTCTCTCATTTATTTGCTTTTCTTTGACTAAACAATGGGACAGGATTTCTTTAAGCTGTCTTTTGTATCTGGTGTCTTCTTCAATTTTGCTTTGCACTCCATTTGAAAAACTTTCTCCTCCCTTTCCATGCCTCGCCCATTTTTTACTAAAAAGTGGTGATGAATCAGACTTGAATGGCATCCCATGATTACACTGTGTGAACAGACTCTTTTGATGTGCACCTCATAAGGTGCAGTGCAAGCCCCAAACAAGGATTCCTGCCAAAAAAACAAAACAAAAACGTTTTTATTAAATGCCAAATCTTCACCAGTCGACTGTAGAAGGATTCAGGGAACTTAACTCTATCACTTTTCAAGGAACACAACTTGAAATAAGATTGAGGTCAGGAACATTTGTCGTGAAAACACAGCGTAACCATTTAAAATAACACAGTGTTAATAAGTTCAAAGCACAATGCTGCCCCTTTGAGTAGAAGTCGAAACTGAACTCCGGTTCAAGTTGCAGCCTGCAAAAATGGATGGATTACAGTGCTCCACCCCAGTGGATATTTTGCACTGAATGGGCTTTTTTTTTAAATTGTTGACATCTGAGTGAGAAAATGCTCATGTAGTCTTAACGAACACTAACATTTTAACACGAGCACATGTCTCCAACTCTGCATGTGAGCCTATATATTCTAAGAAGTGTCTACTTGCCAAGTAAACAAGAAGACACTAGCACACACGGGCATCAACAAAATGATTTCTTGCTGCGGTCTAAGGTGGCTTTGCAGCAATGTTAGCCTATGTATTGAAGGGTGTAGGCCTTTTTTTTGTCCTTGTGCTGTTTGTTGTCCTTATGCTCCTGGATCTGTCTGCTGCATTTGACACTGTCGACCACAGCATTTTAATCTCTCGCCTGGAGCACTGTGTGGGCATTAAGAGTGTCGCCCTGGACTGGTTCTGGTCTTATTTAACGGACAGAAGTTTCTGCGTTCAACTTGACAACTCTGTGACGTCAACAGCTCCTCTTCCACATGGGGTCCCCCAGGGCTCAATCCTCGGCCCTCTTTTATATGCCTTTTATCTACTCCCCCTTGGTTCTGTTTTTAGGAAACATGACATATCCTTTCATTTTTATGCTGATGATTGTCAGATCGATCTTCCACTAGCACAGAACAACTCCAACTCAGTCCAACAACTTACTGACTGCCTTAAGGACATTAAAGCCTGGCTTTCTTTTAACTTCCTCAGTCTTAATGAGAACAAGACTGAAGTAATGTTTTTTGGACCAAGTGGCGTCCACCCCCCCAACATCGATCTAGGCTCCCTCTCACCCTACCTAAAGGAGGTCGTCACTAATCTGGGAGTTAAATTTGACCCTGATTTTAAATTTGAGAAGCAGATCAGCGGGGTGGTACAAAAAGTTTTTATCAGTTACGTCAAATAGCGAAGGTGAAGCCCATTTTATCAAGACCTGACCTGGAAAAATTAATCCATGCTTTTATCACTACCCGTCTTGATTACTGTAACTCTCTGTATGTAGGGATTAGCCAGGCTTCCCTTGCCCGCCTGCAGCTTGTGCAGAACTCTGCTGCACGTCTCCTGACCCAGACCCGCAGGCGTGAGCACATCACCCCCATCCTGGCGTCCTTACACTGGCTCCCTGTTCAGTACAGAATTCATTTTAAGCTTTTAATATTTGTTTTTAAGGGCCTGAACAATCTTGCTCCACCCTATATTTCGGAGATGCTCCAGCCTTATTACCCACCCCGACCCCTAAGATCAGCTGATCAGCTTTTACTGACGGTCCCCAGTACAAGGCTGCAGCTCAGAGGGGACAGAGCGTTTGCCACTGCTGCCCCTAAGCTCTGGAATGGGTTGCCCTTGAAAATTAGACAGGCCTCCTCATTTCCTGTTTTTAAATCCCTTTTAAAAACACACTTTTACTCATTGGCTTTTAGTACATTGTAGTGTTAATTTGTTTTTTATCATCTTAGCACTTGCTGTGAGCCTCCTTATTTATACACTTATTTATTCTTCTGCATTACCGTATTTCTGCTCGCTTTATCTTGTTCTTTGATTGTTTAATTTGTTTTTATGTGTCACTGTACAGCACTTTGGCCACCCTTGTGGTTCTTTTAAATGTGCTATAGAAATAAAGTTGATTGAATGATTGATTGATTGATTTTTATTATGCCCCATATCCCAGGAGTCTGCAAGTTTATCTTTCTCTACTCTAGTATGAAGTCTAAAACCCTGCATCTGACATTGTGATGAGTATTCTCTTTGAAATTAGTGGACTGTTCAAGAATAAACAGACATCTGTAATCATGCGGACATACAAAACTCAGTCCTGCTTCAAGCTCCACTCCCTTGTGGGTAGGCTCATTCTGATCTGCAGGAACTGCATGTCCAATGTAAGTAGTCAGACACTGCCCTCTGGTGGATTATTGCTGGAGATGGAAAGAAGCCTTTATTTAGATCTTGTATGACCAAGAATTTAGCATTTAGTGACAACCAACAGAGGTCTCCAGGGATGTTTTTTAAAAAAAGCTTCCTATACTCATTTTAGGCTCCATCTCTCAAGTGCAACAGTTGAAATTTGGGGCCATCGCAAATGTTGGCTGACAGTTTTTTCTTTTAAAATTGAAAAGGCATGATCGGATGCTTTTGATTGGGACTTAATGGGAATTAAAGAAGTCTTAGTGAAAGGCACCAAAAATAACATAGTCATTAATAAATGAATTACCGGTAAAGCCATGAAAAATGGTATGATAACAAAAAGTTACCCCAGGTGGCCCCTGAGTTTTTCACACGAACCCTCTACATTTTTTTTATTTACATCTTTAAAAATGTAAGGCCCTTAAATGTCTTAAAAAGTCCTATTTTCACAAATGAGCAAAGAAGACTTTGATATACTGTGTAACGGAGGCCTCTGTTGTCTCCGTTACTACTGCAGTGAGTAGCTGAGGATTGGGGCAGCTAAGCAGTGTAGATAGATAGATAGATAGATAGATAAGATAGATAAGATAGATAAGATAGATAGATAGATAGTGCAGGTAGACACAACATTTAGGGTTGTTAAATTAAAAGCTACACATGATTAGCAAATGATGAGCCACAGAGGTATTTCAGTCAAAATACTTTAATTCTGATTTGGTTAATGGTGTGTGTGTGTGTGTGTGTGTGTGTGTGTGTGTGTGTGTGTGTGTGTGTGTGTGTGTGTGTGTGTGTGTGTGTGTGTATATGTATAGGTGTTCTCCGGGGACGTCCGGTAGCTCGTCCGGTAGCCGGGGGTTAATTTAGCCGCACCACCTGTAACACAGTGCACACGATGTGGATGAGGGTTTCAGCATATTTGTGTGCTTGAGTAAAAGGTGGAAGTAGTGCAGTTTAAAATCAGTTTGACGTGAATATTGTGAACACTTACCTGTGCCTTTCTGTCTCCACTCCCAGGGTGCACATGTAAAAGAGTCCCCGGGGAAACAAACGGCCTTTTAGCGTTCCGGGAGGGTTCCAACTGGCAGATGGGTATGGGGGGTGAACAGTGCCACGTGTAAAATTTAATTGGGAGGATGATCACAGTATGTGATTAATGTACACTCGAAATTGGGTTCTGTGATTTAGTCTGGAGCATAGGTTTGTATATTTTAAGTAGGTGCTTTTTAAATAGTTATATTAAACTGGTTACAGTTTTTCCACACCCCTACACGTGGTAGCACCCAATCGGGGAGGGTATATAGGGGAGCGCTTTCCTCTGAGCTGGGAGTCTCTCGTGTGCACAATGGACTGAGCATGGTGTGTTTTATTGGTTTTTGGTTTATACACTGCAAATAAATACCCACTGTGTGGGTTTAACTCATCTCCTGCCTCTGCCTCCTTATATGGTCACAGCCGCTCTCAGGGTCAATTCTTACATACTGCGCATATAAATATATACTGTTTGCCTGTAGACTCAGTCAAATCAGCTGTAATTAGTTTTTGGTAATCCCATTTTGAGGACTTCTTTGCTCACTTGATTGCATTAATTCTTATTAATTCTTGGGTCTCAAATGTGGTTTTTGGTTCTCCATGGTAACCATCAGCGTGGTTTCCCCACATCATGTCTAGATCTTTCATGGTGGAGGAAAGCTTTATTTCACCAACAAAACTTCAGTTTCAGGGAGTAAGACTCAGGGGATGTGTTACTGGAACAAATGTTGTATTCATCCACACACAGAGCTTTTGCATTCAGTCGGTAATGGATAACACATAACCCCCTTTCAGTCTCCCCTCTCTTGTTTTACCTGTTGGGTTTAAGTCACATCCATAGACTGTATATTCTATAGACAACTTGGCTCCACCTTCTGTCATTATACGAATTTGAAGCCAAACTGTTCTCTGTAGTTCAGGAATTTTCTCAGCTTCCTGGAACCACCACTTGCAAAGTAACATTGTGCGCATTCGGCGGGAGAGCCTCAGAGAGTTGCTGTGATGACTACGTGAGCTACACAATCTTCGGACATCCATTGGCTGTATCAAGTGTCAATCATAGAAAACATGAACCCCCTATTAGATTTTAAAAATGGAGCTTCACAGAAAAAAGAGGACTTGAGCACAAACCAGTCGTACAGTAATACATGTCAACATCGCAAGCAGGGGGGAAAGAGATTTATATTCTGTGTAATAAATTTCTTAAGTTTGTCCACAGCTCCATAGGGATTGCTGAGGAGGCCGGATTTATGACCTATACTGCAGCCCACCACCAGAGGGTGCTGTTTACAAGGTGAATTCACCCAACGTGGAGGCAGGCAGCATCCATTCTATATACAGTCTATGGTAACGTGATTTATATTCACTCAGTAAAAGCACAATCGCAGTATCTATCTAAGAACACTGGATTAGATTTTTAAGCTTCGTCCCAATATCTTACAAATATCATTTAAGGTCTGTTTTAGTTTCAGATCAAATTCCTGCCTGTGCCACTTAAAGTATGTACAACATAGTTAGAGATAAGTGCTTTCTCAGTGGTAAATGGTAACTGACAAATAAACGGTAAAATTACTTTGTCAGTCTCAATATCTGTCAAGTTCTTTGTGTTTGCCTGAACTTGAGAGGCTAAGAGGCAACAGAAGATGCTAGGACAACTCAAATCCAGTTCACATTTTATTTTAATTTTTAGATTATTTTATTTTTAGTTTATTCACACTGGATGGGTTAGGTTGATAACCTCAAAGTAAAATGGGAAAAATGGAATACATGTTAGTAAATGAGGCTTTAGAGATGTTAATTAAAATAATTAAGTCTCTCTTTTGCAATAATCCACTGCAATCTTTTCTTTGTGCAATAGCTTAGCTTATAAATCAAGTCAATTTTGAAAGCAGTCATATCACAAAATATTTTACCGATGACTCCAGCTGACAGGGCTGTGTTGGTTGGGTCGGAATGTCAGTATAGGTTGTAGACTGCTATAAATTATGTTTATCACTATAAAATACATTCTTTCTCAAGTATACAATAAAGATTAAAACAAACACTTTTTTTTTTCAGTAAACACGTTTTTATTTTGTTTGGTAGCAAAAACAGCACCTCAGGACAACAGTGTGATGTGGGCAGCCTCCTAAGGGGTCCAACAATTTCAGTTACAAGACACGCACAGGGAAGACATGCACTACCTACTGGAGCAGGCAAGTTAAGACATTAGTTGACCAACAACGCTGAAGCACTGTTTCAGTACATTCACAGTCCTTTGACGACACCACGGTCCGTTTGATGCAACACAATTTGGAATGAAATGGATTACATGTTGCATAGATTTCAAGGGAGTGCTGTTTCTAAAAATCTTCCATATTTGCAATTTCCCATTTTTCTGTCACTTTCCGAGACAATACAACTTTTTAGTACAGACAGTCAGACATACAAAATAAACTCTTTGGTCCCTTTCAGATCTTTGGTAGTGTTAGGATCATTTCTTCATGAAAGTATCTTTAAGCTCTACTTAAGAGTGGCTGGCAAGCATTTGTCTTCAGACTTTTTTATGATAGTTTCAGGGGTGTGAACTGTAAGTTTAAACAGGAAAACTAGCAGACAGGTAACTACACCTCTAAACTAGACAGCTCAATCCTCGATGACCTCAGAAGACTCGGACACCACTCTGCCGTCCTTGGTCTCAATCATCTTGATAACCACATTCTTCTTGCTCTGGGTGGTGCTGTAGCCGCCACTGCCGCCACCGCTGCTGTAGCTTGCACTGCTGCCACCGTAGCCGCTGCCGGCACCATAGCCGCTGCCACTGCCGCCGCCGTATCCGCTGCTGTAGCCGCTGGAGGAGTAGCTTGAGTAGCTGCTCTTCATGCTATCCGTGGGGAAACCACCGTAGCTTGCTGTTTAGAGAAGAGAGAGAGGACAACATCGTTAAGACTCATAAAAGTTTAGAGACATTTAAAACTAAAAAAAGGGAAGGGGACATAAACTGTGTGATGGCCGTCTTTGGGTAATTTGGATGAACACAAATACTAAGTGAAAAAGTACACCATGATCAGTTGAGTTGGATTGACTGAATAAAAAAACAACAAAACCTAACACAATGAGACAAGATACAATATACAATAAGGTACAAAATGATTCCATACAATTAGTACAGAATGCTAGGATACACAATGATGCAAAACAATATGACAAAAGCAGTACAATTAGGTATGATATAATATTGACACAATGGGATACTAAATATTTGTTGGAAATGTATGCAAAGTATTTTACACATCATAATGTATCATATCGTACATCGTTGAATCATAGCTAATCTTTTTTGTTTCCCAATCTGCCAAATCTGAAGCCTCAAGCTTTGAATTTCCCACACTCCAACTTCTTGCTGTGCAGGCAGAAAATACAGCAGTGTATTGCCACTCTCCTGGTTGACAGGCCATGTGATGCCCACTAGCAAATTAAAGTAAATTTTGCCAGAAGCTCTGCTTTCTCTGTTTGATTTAGTTTGAATTTCACCATATTTACTTCGAGCTGCAGCAGGAAAGTACGAAAACTAGATACTGTGAGCATTAACTCTGGAAAGGTTTTTCCAGAGTTAATGTTAAGATGATAAATCAGGAGAAGCAGGTTTGTTTCCTTTTAGACTTTTACACAATCAGAAGAACTTTGTTGAAGCCCATCCTGCCGGCAGCAACAAGACTATCGAGACAGGGCACTTCTAAAGCAGCCTCACTTTCAAAACCAGGTAGACACAAAAAACATCTTTGAGTTGTAACAATCTCAACCAGCTGAACACTCCACCCAACTCTGTTCAGTGTAGAGCACAAACATTCCAAGTCTTCTGATGCTTGGTTCATGACAGGAATGGAAGAGTAGCTTTGATTTAGATTGTGTCTACTTTTTGTTGTTGTGAATCTGATACTGTATAACTTTGAATACATGCATAAAAACCTAGAACAATAGCCCATTGGACAACAAATGGGTTGTAAAACACTGATAAATGTTGGTGTGCAGTCATTGAAGATAGATCTTTGGACTCCAGTCAGTATAAAAACATGAATGGGATGTGACTTACTGCTCTGTTGGGAGATGTTGATTGCCTTGATGCCGTTAGCCAGTCTGTCCTCCTCTCCCTCCAGGAGTTTTCTGTAGGTGGCGATCTCAATGTCCAGAGCCAGCTTGACGTTCATCAGGTCCTGGTACTCTCTGATCTGGCGGGCCATGTCCTGTTTGGCTCTCTGCAGGGCATCCTCCAGGTCCTTAATGCGGGCCTTGGCGTCCTTTACTGCCATCTCACCACGCTCCTCAGCCTCAGCGATCTGGGCCTCCAGGTTACCACGCTGCAGGAAGAGATTACAAGAAGTGAGGCTCTGTGCACAGTCCTGGTAGTTACAAAAAACTATTTTGTGTTTCAAAACCATCTAAGACACCGTACCTGTCCCTTGACGGCATCAATTTCTGATGTAAGTCTCTGGATCATGCGGTTCAGGTCTGCGATCTCTGTTCTAGTTGACCTCAGGTCATCACCATATCTGCTGGCGGATGTCTGCATCTCCTCATACTAAAGAAACATCAGAAGGCAACACATTAAACACTGAAAACCCTGCTAAGAATATTGAATGAAATTGAATTTTGCTAAGGTGAAAATGGCAGGTCTTGTCTTTAAATATCAATGTGCTCTACACATGCAAGTTGCAGGTTCACAAAAGAAGTAAAAACCTGATCATGAGGAAAAAAAAGGTTTCCTCCTTTACCTTGCTCTTGTACCACGTCTCTGCCTCAGCACGGCTACGGTTGGCGATGTCTTCATACTGAGCCCTGACCTCGGCCACAATGGAGTCCATGTCCAGGTTGCGGCTGTTGTCCATCTCAACAATGACTGAGGTGTCCTTGATCTGACTCTGGAGCTCACGGAGTTCCTAAACAAGTAAACAAAAAAAAGAGATCAGTGAGTCCCCTTTCCATAAGGGCAAACATCCAGTGAAAGTACTTTCAGGGACGATTCAAGATACAAGTCAAGATGCAAAACAGATGCTGAGAAAAACTTCTGCAAACACTGCAAGAATTTAACGACAGAAGAGATAAATCTTAAAAACTGCTGATAGACGCTCCAAGTGGTTTTGAGGTTGGAAGAAAGAAGGAAACACCCAGTGTGCTGATTTGTGCTCCTTACCTCCTCGTAGATCGACCTGAGGAAGTTGATCTCATCTGTCAGACTTTCCAGCTTAGCCTCCAGCTCCACCTTGTTCATGTAAGCCTCATCGACATCCTGCAATTAATTAAAATATTTGTCAGACTAAGACACCTCCAAGTGCTGACTAGCCGAAAAAAACTGCTGTTGAATTCAACTCAAAGAGGAAAATGATGATGCTGACCTTCTTGATGAGGACAAAGTCGTTCTCACACTCTGTGCGCTTGTTAATCTCATCTTCATACCTGAAAGGAAAAGAGAAATTCAGTCAAAAATTCAACATTCATTCACTTATGTTGAATGAACACTAGGAGGTGCAAACAGCCTTTCTATTACTCTCGGACTCCCTTGGGACAACGGCCTCACAAAGTGTTGACTCAGGCCTGAGTGTAACAGGTGTTACTGATATTTCTCCCCTGAGGCTCCTTCTGAACACAGCTGATTCACTCCATTTGTGTGTGGACGAGTGACTTCTACACACAGCACTTTTGTGCCTGTTCAATTTGCAGTCTCTTGGGTAAAGCTATAGGGCTGCTCTGTTTGGCTTTGTTGGAGTGTAACATGCAATGTAACGGCTGTTTGGAACATGCTTCCTCAATGTTGTAATTCTCTAGAGTTCATATGACGCAAGACAATGGACAGATGCAGGGAGGAGTCCACTAAAAGATTAAGTCAGCGCCCTGAAAGTTGAGTCTCCTGATGTGAACTGTTTGGATTTCTATGTTGAGGAAATTCAAGGACTGTAGCAAAGTTTCTAAAAGTCTTCACGATGGCTAAACAGGCCTTATAGCGCATAGCTAAACTAGCACCCTAAATGACCCCTCTCCAAACTCACTTGTTCTTGAAGTCCTCCACCAGGCCTTGCATGTTGTGCAGGTCAGCCTCCAGCTTCATCTTGTCATTTCCCAGGCTGTCCAGCTGTCTGCGCAGGTTGGCGATGTAAGCCTCGAACATGGCGTCGATGTTGGAGCGGGTGGTGGTCTGTCCCTGCAGCAGGTTCCACTTGGTCTCCAGCATTTTGTTCTGCTGCTCCAGGAAGCGCACCTGAGAAGAAAGCACATAATGTTTTACTTATTTTTCAAGGGTTTCTTGGAGCTAACCTTTAATAACTCGCAATGTATGTGTGACTTACATGCTTGACTGCTAAAACAAATCATTAGTAATGAATTCTGTTTAAACTGTGATGTAACCCCACTCTACTCTGCCCTTTACATAACAACTTCCTAATAATCAATCACCGGGATCCAACCTCCTCATGCCTCCTGTTTTCCGCCTCGAGTCTTTATTGTTCTTATCTATCTTTGGAGCTTTGTTAGCTCCAGTTGGCTGTGTTTCCAGATATGCTTTTCCAAAGGAAGGCCTGACGTACGTGCATCCTGACAGGAGGTGGAGAGGGGAGGGAGGTTGGAAAAAGTTGGTGATGGAGGAATCAGAACTGTTTAACCCTTCTCCTACATGTCTTCCTGTTTTTGTAGCCAAAGAGGGCAAATACAGAGAGGGAGAGAGAAGGGTGTATAAGTGGAGTTGCATCCCCAGGCAGATGCAGGTGGGTAAATATTTAACTGTATTGAAGATGTGATGAGGGAGGGGAGAGAGTCAGAGAGAGGTGGAGGTAGGGACAGTGAGGGTGATAAATGAGCTGTGGGGAGAAGGTGAAAAGGTGGGGGAGTTCACATATTTGTGAACAGTAAAAGGAGATAGTGAACCTTACACCTTAGCTCATTGCAGGTGAGACCCACACAACAGTATCTTATTGTGGTCTTTAAAAGTGGACTCAGATGGAGTATAAAGAGCCTCCACTTGATCTACCACCATGAGATATCAGACAGCAGTGTGGGAGTTTATTTAGTTTCTGTTGAAGCATGCAAACTGCATTTTTATCTCCCTCTAACCATTGCACCAGTAGACGGTGAGTTGCCATGTTGATGGAAACATAAAACCAACCAGCCTTTTTAAATATTAACCCACTGCTGAGGCCCCAGACACTGCATTCACTGTGACTATTACATAAACGGTGGACTTCAGTGCTGTCTGAAATGAATGAAATCCTATCACACTTTCCCCGTACGTGTCTTTTAGTTAGTCACTTTTAGAGACAGTGTCCTAATAAAGTCAACAATCACACTCAGCTGACTGTCTGTGTGCGTTTGGGGAGGGGTGGGGGCCACCAGGGCAGCAGAAAAAGGGCCACACCCCAGCAAAGGGAGGGACCAGTCCCAAGGTAACTCGTATCACAAGCCCTGAGTTCTGCCCTGCCACACCCATTGCTTTCTCTCTCTCTCTCTCTTTCTCTTTGTCTTTCACTGTCACTCCTTTCTGCAAGTCTGTTTTTCATCACTATAAAAGGGCAGCCAGTGCCAAAAAGATTGAGAGCCGAACTTCTAAGTTTGAGCACATTTTTTCTCTGCCTTGACTGCATTTGTGGGAGGTGGCGTCACAAAAGAGAGGAGAATAAATCAACCCTATCCATGCAGGATGTGAAGATATCAGCAGTACAAGACATGTGGCACACATATGGAGCTCTTTTTCAAATATTGCATAACAATGTGCAGCACTGAAGGGAAAGTTTCAGCTTCTTGAGACAACTTTGTCAGGTCTTTCCAGCCACCCTGAGCAGTTTTTGTATGGAACAGCAAGCCAACTTCAAGTTTCTAACCACACACTTGTGTTTGCCCTCTATTTCATGCTCTTACCTTGTCGATGAAAGAAGCAAAGCGGTTGTTAAGGCTCTTGATCTGCTCCTTCTCCTGGGTGCGGACTGCCTGGATGGTGGGGTCAATCTCGAGGTTCAGAGGGGCCAGCAGGCTCTTGTTCACAGTCACAGCGGTGATGGGGGGCTGAACCATACCCATACTGCCACCAAAGGCAGAACCTCCACCATATCCCATACCTACACTCATGCCTGAACCTCCACCACCCATACTTGAGCCCAAGCCAAAGGCAGCGCTGCTGGTGATGCCACCAGCTCCCCCAAAGCCTCTGTTGACTCCTCCATATGAAGACTTGACACTGTAGCTCATGCGGGAGGAGCCAGAGCTTGGTCCACCATAAGATCTGCTGCTAAAGGTTCTTGAGCTGGGGGCAGTCTTCACACTGTATGAGGTGCTCCTGAAGTTAGACATTTTGGACTGCTGAGTTTTTCTTCTGAATGGAGGAGTCCAGGAAGGTCAGACCGATGGTTCGGTTGGCTTGGCAGGCAGGCAGGCAGGTAGGCAGGCCGGCAGAGGGGAGAGACCGGAGTGGATAGAAAAGAGCAGGAGCTTCAGAGGAGTTTTAAAGCCTGCTGCTGTGGGAGGGGACTGAGCTGAGCTGCTATTGGCCACAGGTCTGAGAGAGAAAGAGGTAGGCAGGGCTGTAACTTTACACTTGTATGACACATTGTGCAGTCATTCCAAACCATTACCTGGTCTTCCTACAGGCTTCTCTGTGTGTTGTTGGAGAAAACCTGGACTGCTGGGGGGATTATGGAGTGGGCATAACTCTTTGTTTTAGCTCCTCTATGTGTGTGTGTGTGTGTGTGTCTACAGGAAAAAAGACGTCTCCACACCCACCATAGTTGTTACAACATGTAGGATCTGGATTTCCTGTTAATTAAAAACATCTAATTTATATTTAATCTTACACCCTGCTGAAGAAGAACTAATGTGTGTGCAAAGGCTGAATGTTTGTCTCTTTAGTACATGTGCAGGTTAACATCAGTAAATTAAGGTGTGTTCATTATTCAGTGGGAAGGTTGTGTGTGTAAGGAGGGAGGTTGTGTTGGGTATCTCTGTGAACACACAACAATAAGAGTGGAATGTGGAGAGTGATGCATTGACGTATAATTGTCGTAAACATACACACAACGTATTCTGCATCATCTTTATTGTCCTCAAAGCTACTTTGAGAATAATTTTGGTGGCCTGTTTCCGCAGAAATAATCTAATAATTTACATTTTTACTTGAAACAATTTAAAAGTAGACTCAAACTTTAGTCCACGATTTAGTTGATCTCACTTTAAAAAAAAAAAAAAGACTGAGTTATCATGCTGGTAAAAAGAGATTTAAAGTAAGCTCTGGAATTGTTCATCGGCTCATTTCATAAAGTTTATCAAGCTTTTGAAATCTCACTTAAGAGGCATGGGTGTTCTTCTTTTTTTTGTCTTTTTTCCTTATCTCAGTTCGTTTGAACCCTTTCTTTTTTGTTTTTTCCATGGAAACCACTCCCCACTCATTATCCATGACCAGAACACAGTCCTGGTTGACTAGCAGGCCGGGTGGGCTTGATCAGCAGGAACTTTTTCAACCTCACACATTTTGGGAATAGCATTGCATCAAGGGATGAACAAAAAAAAACAAACTTCTCTGATACTCTTGCCTCTAATCCCAAACATGCAAAAGCTGCAAGATAAGAAAACAAAGGTAAATCACACACTGCAGGATGACATGAAGGGGACTGGATGTGCTGTAGGGTTAATCACACCATCCCACCTGGTTATCAGTAACCTGGTGTGACCTCAGGGTGAAGCAACTGAAGACAAAACAGAGACTGACTACAACCTGATTTGCATCACAAATTAAAAAACAAAAAAAAAACTCTGGAGGATGACACACTCTTTAGGGAGACACTGCCCACACTGTTTTGGATTCCTGTCGAGAGTAATGATGATGCCTCACGCCAGGCTTGGGAGCATCATTCTGACTGGGAACTCCTTTTCCCTCACAGTGGTCATCGTGTCCCCGCTGGAGAGTACTTGGTCCAATATTATCAGGGTACCTTTATAAGCCTGCAAGCCCTCCTGGAGATTTTTGACTTAATTTGTGAACCTCTAGACCGAAGATAAGCACATAAAGGGCCCAAACTAAGTTTATTAAGCTAATGGGGGTGTAGAGAACAGATATAGAGTAAGAAAAGTAACATTGCAAGCTGCCTACCTGCTTAGTATTTTCATTGAAGCAGCAAATCTTGTTCAACTCCTTTCCTTGTCACTTAGATTTTTGGATTTGTTACCACATGATGTGTAAACACTAAAATTGTTTCCACAAATCAACGGCTTGTTTATTTCGGATGTAATCTAAATTTATGGTTTGAATATAAACTTGCAGATTGGCCTTCATATCATTCAACATGACAATCCACAGAGTAAATGCTCGGCTGTGCTTTGGTTCCCCATACATTGCAGATCATGTCTTAAAACTGTGATTGGGAAGACCGAGATCAGCATTGAACAGTTTGGGGTTTTCACTCCTGATCTGAAATCCCATCTGAACAATCCATTGTTACTGAATAGGCAATTTGCACATTAAAAGTTGTTTTAAAAATATCTAGGGTTAAGGTTTCACGCTGTGCAGGATTTGGAGAAAAGCACCTCTGAGTTAGATAAGATGGTCCGTACATGTTTTCAAAAGGCTGCATCACTTAGGCTGAAACAAGACCCTACAGCAATATATATTTTTCAGCAGATTTGGATGCTGTAGGGCCAAAAATTCCTTGGCTGCTGCAGGTGACTTGTGTGCACCCCCTTGGTTTATTCTTAGTACAACAGACACCACATGGTCTGGTCTGAAAGCTTGTCTGCAAACCAGGTGAACTGCACTAACCAGCTGGCTTTCATTATTGTCAAACAGGAGGCACGTTAGGTGAACGCCACAGAGCCTGAGGCTCTTAAAAAACAATGAACTCAAGTGTCAAGTTTATTTTTCTTCTATAAAACTATGTTTGTCTACATGCATTATCATCTCCTATAAACACCTTTACATAATTTAACCCTCCCTGGCTGGACTATTCACTGAGTAAACATTAAAAAAGAATTTCAACACCACCCTGATAACAGAAACTTTAGCTCCTTATATTCCTGCCCATGCTGTAAAAACCATGTTTCCCAAATAACTGCAGAGTGAAACTATAACAGGATCATGGTGGTTCAACCTTGAACATGATTTTCCACCAATACCAGCCACGCATTCCTCCCCTCCCATCCTCCAATCCCTCGCCACAATGAGTCATAAGTCTTGGCACTACCAAGCCAAACCCCCTCCACCATACCCGCTCTCCTCCATCTTCTCAAACCTTCTTCTTTCCCGCCAGTGGTCTCATATTCATCATGGAGACATGCCCCAAAATAAAATACACTCCCTCCTTCCTTAAGCAGAAGTGAATGCCAGCTAAAGAGCGGGGCATTTGTAACAGCAGTGTGCAAAGTTGCAGAGCAGTGAGGGACTGAGTCAAACATCCTGAGAAGGAACATGTGGAAATACTGATATGAGGCCCTAAATCTGAATTGAGTTTACCACACTCGAACAATCTAGCATAAACAGAGCCAAAGGGAAATTCCTGCTTTGGTTTGTGAAACACACATAACTGCAGTGAAATCCTGGTGATCATATATTATCACCAGGTTTTGGATCATGTGGGCTGATGATTCAAACCAGCAGAAAGCAGAAGAGATTTTTGTCAGTGCGCCTGGAAGAAAATCAAATTTGAGCAATTTAACCATAATTTCTCCACAAATTACGAAACATGTTCTTTGTCAGTCATATGACTTTTATTAGTCCTCTTGAGCTGAATGAGTGTCAACCTGCTACAAAGTCTGATTATTCTTATGTATGAATCTTTCAGGAGTCTATGTTATTTAATTAAAATAAAAAAATCCTCAACTTTGTTCTTCTGTTCAGAAACTTCAGAGAAAAGACCTCTTTGCAACGTCCTCTGTGACTACAGTCCAGAAACACAGATGACTCATCCCTCTTTATGAGGCCATGTTGGTTTTTCAGTAGTCATGAGTATTTGAGCCCGAGCCGATTATTTTCAAGAGTTGAGTGTGTTACAGTATACATTTCTATTTGCTTTTAACAGGGTTATAAGAGTAAAACTCGTGCTCATTCATCTGACAATCACTTAATAATTACTTTCTCTTTACAACAGAATCAGCAGTTTTGGCCAAGTTTTGTTTGCATCTACAGGGAATTGGACTTCAGTTGACTTGCTCTCTATGTATGAACATCTACTATAAAACTTTAAAGGCTGTCAAAGTTAATGCCTTGTTGGGTAGAAATGGATAAAGAAACAAGTTTTCTGAACGGCAAGCACAGCCTCAAAGCTCTGCCAGATGGTGCTCTCAACAAAAGACAGGTGGAGTTAGTGTCCATGTATAGTGAGATACCAATGTCTAAAGTACCGCTTGCTAATGCAGAGAGCCCTACACCGTTTTACCAAAGGTAGGCCATGCTAGATAGTTTGCAAGAAGTATGGCAGTACAGCTCTACAAGCAAGACATTTCCAATTGCAATAGCTAAAAGGGTGGCCAAGGCTTGCATTCAAAATCATTTACATGCTTATCCAGAGTCAGGTCCCTCTCCCCAACAACATACACCGTTTTACCAAAGGTAGGCCATGCTAGATAGTTTGCAAGAAGTATGGCAGTACAGCTCTACAAGCAAGACATTTCCAATTGCAATAGCTAAAAGGGTGGCCAAGGCTTGCATTCAAAATCATTTACATGCTTATCCAGAGTCAGGTCCCTCTCCCCAACAACATTTACCTGCACCTTATGGGTATGTCCATTCAACTTTATGAGATGCCCAAATCACCTTAACTGGCTCTTTTTAATGTGAGGGTGTAACAGCGTCTAGATAACTTGATCTGTCATTCCAACAGTGTGAAAATGTGACTCGTGTTTTCAACAGAGCTTCAGCCTGTCACATGGTACAAATAAATCAATGGAGACAAAGGCTTCTCATCAACTTTAATTTGTCTTGGTGATATGAGTGAGGTCTTGCTGTGCCGAAGAAAAAAATGCACATGTGACACTTAAAGGTCAGGAGGTTTTAAAGTTACATTGATGTCTGTGGATCGATATAGAGGTCACCAATGCTGGAACAACAACTGAAATGGAGGCACAATTCATGCTTATCTTTCATATCAGTGGTTTGGGGGGCACTCTCATTTTGAGTCGTCTTGCTAATTGAATGAAAAACACTTTTAAATTAAATTTAATTAGAGCTTCTGTTGGGCTCAACATGAGTTCACTTTTAGATGCACTGAGGATACCTGTAAGAAACACTGAAATGAAAACCAAAGAAAACCTCCAAGTCCTGATTGGGTCAAACAACACCACAGTACCATTTGTATCAAAACCTTTTTCTCATAAAGGTCCAGTGAGGAATTTTCACTGAGTCAACCTTGGTACCCCCTATGGACAAAGATAAAACTGCAAAAAATAGCTGCTGCTTGGTTGATATTCGCCCCTTTTGCACCAGTTTCAGGCATTAATCTGGCTACTGATTGTCACGTTTGCTTACACTTCATTAAAACAAAAAAACAAAAAAAAACCTCAGAGTAGATTTAAATAATATTACTTATTATGTTAAGAACAGAGTGTTTAATCTATTCTGTTTTTGGTATTTTCTCTTCTTTAGTCTGATCAGTTGAACTCTTGGTTGCACTTTTAATATCTGAAGTTACAACAAACTCTGTAGAGAAATATAAACAAAGTCTGGAAATGTCGAAGGTGATTTCAGTGTACGCCTGCTTTTCATTCCACTCTATCTGTTTAATAATGAGGCCTTCATCAGAACCACCAGTCACATGTTTAAGGGGATTGTCCTCCTCTGTAGTGTCAACATCATTATGCTGAAGGCTGATTAAGTATCAGCTGGCTAATCAAGCCAAACAGGCGGCTGATATTTCTTGTTTGCAGCTGAGCAGGATTTTACAGCAGGATGAATGAGTGTGAACACAGATGGACCTTTACACTGTGTTCTCAATAAACATTTCAGAGGGCCTATCAGTGTCTGACTGCACAAAGCTGTCACAAGGCGTGTCCCGGAGTGTCACAGCCTCTGCAGTGTGTGTGTGGGCAGAGGCTGAGGGTGTGTGCTGCACTCTATCATACCAGACACCCTCACAGCAGAAGTGTTTGAGAAATTATTTGGAATTCTTGTGAAATTTTTCAGCATCGAAGCATAATCAGGCTGAACTCTCAGTGACCCTTTCCCTAAAATCTCTCATTATCTCTTGACACTCGGCTCAGTCATCTCATCTGTCGTCCCTGGGTCGGACGTTTTTGTAATTGGGTGTTTTCTTTGTGGTTTCTACACACAGAGTGTGTCTTTGGTTAACAGTAACTTTGAGCTTTCCAGCGGCTCTTCCTGGCAGGATATGGAACAATCATCCAGCACACCAAACAAACCTTTTTGTTTTTACCTCCCATTGTATTGTGATTTAACCTCCAATAAGAAAGAAGTGGAAGACTACCGTCTTTCTTACATTGCACAACCCTGTTTTACGCACTTTACTCTCTTTGTAACATCAGGTTGTGTCGGCTCTAAGGTGAATATTAAATTAGAAAATGGCTTCTGGTACTTTAACATAGTGTCAAGAAAAACAGCCATGGTGTGATAACATTCAGGACTCGCTTATAGGATTGTTACAATCTTAGCTTTATGAATTCACTGGGACTCAGAGGGTACAAAAATACTGAAAGAGTCACCTTTTTATATTTAAAACTTAGATTAACCACTTTCAAAAAAGCCCCACCTGCAACTCAAACTAATCGGCACTGGATGGTAGGGATGAGAATCGATAACTGGTTCCCAGTGATTTGATTCCTAAGAAATGTTTGTCTGCCTCCTTAACAATTCTGCTTATCGGTTCCTCTTACATGTTTTGGTTCAGAACTTTCCAGCATGGTGTCGCGGCAAAAGCACTCTAGAGTTTGGCTGTATTTTACACAAAAAGATGATACCGGGGCTACTTGCAACACATGCAAAACTTTAATTCCATTGAAGGGGGAAATACTTCCAATATGCAATTAATTTGCGGAAGTGTAATATGTTTGATACACTACTTAGCAAAGGCGAGACTGGTACAGGCAAAAGCAGGAGCAGAGCTAATGTCTCGGTGTCATTTGCTTTAAATGCTTAGGGTAACGTTTAACTTCTCCAGGTCCTGTTTGTTGTGTAGATGTTAGCGCCATGTTAACCCCTTTTCACTATATAAGTACTCTCCATCTACTTAAATCACATTTACATGACGATGACTAGCTCTCACGCTGGCTCAGAGGCTGCAGCGAGTAGCTCTTGTACACCTTTGGCAGCTCCTTTCATCGAGGCATGGAAGAGTAAAATGACAGCGGCGAAGATAAATAAAGGCTGAAGTAACAGGTCAAATTGTTACAGATGGATTGAACAAATGTAGCACTGAAACACTAGGCCAAGAGTCCAGCCTGACACCAAAAGTTAAGTGTTTTTCATCACTAGTGTAAATATGATGTTTAAGTTCTTCCCATACTCACCAACTCTCAGTCTGTCTATACGGCAAAGTGAAAGTTTGAGGGAGAGCTCCTGTGTGGTTGGCAAAGCTTAAACCAGTGAGTTCATGTGATTCTATTTCTGTACGGGCTGTACTGTTAAATATTTTATAGGCCTGTTATACTATAGGGGAGTCAGCTGAGGCTGAATGGTATTTAAAAAACAGGGAAAATGTGCATTTATGTTAACACTGAGCTTTTCCATTCGAAACAGTGATTACCTCTTCAGGTTTTGAAAGTATGTGCAGTTCTGTCACTTGGATCATAATCACCATGGATACGATGTGCAAACTTGATCAGGCGATTTAACTGGGCTGTTGTCCTTGTTCCAGGTCTATTTTTAAAGTGTGTGAATTTACTTTGGGAGTTGATTAAGATTCTGATATTTACTTTTTACCAGCATTATCCAGACCAGCTGTGTACAAACATTAAGAGATGACATGCAGGAACGAAACTCTCACTTCACTTTACGCTGCTTTCAGTTTCCAGACAGTTAGCACAGTTTTCCATGTGATGGCAACAAACATTAGACATACTGAACATAATCTTTGTGTGTGTTATTCAGTAGCAGTGGTATCATCAGGGACATTGGCTGTATATAAAAGCTTTCGCATTAAACCTCATCACTTTACTACTGGTGTAATATTTTTAGGGACACAATCGGTCAAAGGCCCTTGAAATCATTTAAACCTTAAGCTCCCGTACTGCTTCCCTTTTTTCAGGACAGAGTAGCAGGAACAGCCCTGTTACATTCCTTTTAAATATGTGCTGAGTGAAAGTGATGCAGCACGCAATTAGAAGATCGTAAATGGTCATTATCTAACAGGATGATTTACTCAGCCTTAAGGACGTGCCAGAACAGTGCAGCGAAAAATACTTTGTGATCAGGGACAACATAATGAAAGTCATCCAGTTTTGATTCTTAATTTTATTTGTTCATCTTTTACTTGGAACTCCCGTTTGCATCTTCTTTTCAATGGACTATTCCTTTAGCACTACATGGTCTGTACCATGTTGTAGTTTTTGATTGCTTTGTGTCTGTTTTCTTCGATTTGGGTGATGTTTCTGTGATTGGCTTCAGTTGGACATTAGCCAGTAGGATTGATAAAGTATACTCCAGGTAAAGGTCTTATTCCCAGTCAGCACTGATGCTGTAGCTAATTGAACTTGTAAAATGAACTACTCAGTGCATTTTGTCCAATAAAGACTAAACCTCTCAAAAACATCAAATGTTTGGGCATCAAAGAGACAAAAAACATGTTGTACAAAATCACTACATGGTTAAAGTAAAATAAATAAATAAATAAAGTTGTGTCTGGCGTGTACAGGTGCAGTAACCTGCCTCTCTCGGCTGCACTGCAGTAAATCTTTATACAAGCCCAGAGTCATCCTCTGAAACAGGTAATTATTTCCAGCATGCCTGTCATTCTTGAACTTCACTCTACACTGACTTCTGCTGATCTTTGCGCCACCTCGGGCAGCTATAAGCTCTAAAGTGGAACTGTGGTGTGTATAGGGCCGTAGTAACACTTGACATACAAAGGGTGTGTGATGAGCAATGGCCTAAATCTTCCCAAAACCCAAAACACACAAGCTAGTATTATTAACGGATTATACAGTTCTGTTGAGTGCCTGAGGCAAATAGTAGCAAATCTAGAGCTCAATAGTTTGCTGAGAGAAGTTACCTAACATAACTTCCAAGACCAAGGGTGGATATTATGAATATGAGAAAAGGTACTTTATGAGTCATGTTTGAAAAATGTCTTCTTCATATCACTGAAATCTGTCCAGTATTTCTCTATTATTGAAAGTTTCTTGTCTTATTTGTCGGGTCTTGTGTCAGATATGGGGAAGCACCTCCAGCCATGTGCTATATGAGATGGTTACATTTACATGATTGGTTCCTTATTCTGGGCCTGTTTTTCCTGTGATGTTATGATTAAAACCATTCTGTTACTGAGATGTAAAGTAACGACTCAAAGATGGTGTAAAAACCAACGTCCATCCATTTATTAACTATGGAAATTATCCCATTCAGGTTGGAGCCAATCCCATCTAACCAGCATTCATCATGCAGTTGGGGATCAATTTCATCCGTGCTGTAGGCTCCTCTATCAGACATGCTCAAGAATTTGCACGCAATGCCTTTACCTGAAAGTTAAACAGAGTAAATGGGTTGCTAGGAAGCCAGGTAGTAAACAAACCTTGACAAATTGACCGTTGACAAAAGGCATAGTGCTGTAAAGGTGACAGTGTTTTCAGTGACCTAAGATGCATGTCTTCGGACTGTGGTAGGAAGCTGTAGTAGGTAGCCCATGCATGCACAAGGGGACCATGCAGACCCAGGTTTTTACCAGGAACCTTGCAGCCTTTAAAAACAACATTGCAATTATATTTAATATTCCTTATGGCTAATCTCAGAAAAGATTGTGCAGTACCCTCAAGTAGGCACAGACCAAAACAAAGTCTTGTGTCTGTCTGAAGTAGACACTAACCCCCAATTTCCACCGCATCCGGAATGGCTGCGAAAAGCCCCAAACCGCCGATCTTAGCTGCTCGTTTCCATTCAAGTTAATGTGTCAATTTCCACCAACTTATTTCCATTCCACTGCGGATCAGCGGACTCTGCAGCCGATCGCAAGAGTTGCAGCATGCCGCATAAATTCAGCATGGATTAACCCATGCTGGAAAGGAAGTTGGGCACAGACACGAAATAAAACAATGGCTTCCTTTCCAAATAAAACACTAAGTGTTTCAGGCTAATCGTATTTCACATTATGTAAACGGGCGGAGAGGATCAAGTGAAAGGATTTTCGACCACATTTCACCCTGATGACACCATGGATGAGGGGAAGCTTAATCATAGAAGTCCCGAAGTGGATTTCCTCCTCTGGATTGACACAATTGAAAGCTTATATGGTCACGTGGCTGTCTTTATAGTGACAACTCGGTATCGCGCAATTGCATGTGAATCTGTGGGTTCTTGTGAGCTCTCGCGATTCCTATAATCCACCACAAAATTCGACGTTGCAGATGCGGTGAAAACTGGGAGTACTACAGGAGCCTTATTTGTAAACAAAGCTGTCAATTATGGTATTATATCCCCTTAGCATTTAATAGCTAATTAAAGTGAAATGGGTTAATTAGATTTTTTAATTTTTATAAATTTGACCCATGTCCAACCTGTCAACAGGAGGAGGAGGGGTTTATTACCTATACTGCAGCCAATAAGCTCAAAGGATTTCTGTGTAGCTGCCAACAAACACTCTACACAGTCTAGTTAAGGAGTAAAACTATTAGGAGGACAAACATTTGGAGGAAGATTTGCTGCCTTAAAGATTATTATTATTATTATTATTTTGTGATTCTGGTGTTTTTGTGTTTTATTCATCAAGACCATAACTGATATTTGTTTAATGTTTTATTGATTAGTGTTTCTTTTTTAACAACCCCCGTTTTTGATTGTTTTAAGGTGTCATATTGTGGATTGTCAGCTCCATAGAGTCACAAGGTTGTGAGTCAGGCTTGCTGTCTCGAGTTGCTAAAACAAACAGCCATCAAAATCTGAAAATACTGCATCTGTACTATCTGAAGTCAGTCAAAATAGTGCTATAATTTTGAGCTGTGCATCATCTGTGTACGGTATGTGTTCTTCAGAAACCAAAAGTTTCTTAGCCATAGCAACAGTAACCAAGCAGGGCGGGGCTAAGCCGATGAGTAGACAGAATAAAATTTCAATGTATGGTTCCAACTTTTTTTGTGGTTTTACAGCTCAGAATGAGACTATTTTTGAAACCAGTTTGCGTGATCAACCATCTTTTTTCCACTATAGTCCCCACTCCTGAATAATATTTACAGCTCTCTTAGTGCAGTTTGAACAAATACAGTAAATCATGGATTGGAAAACAAAGCGGTAAAGTTGAGGAGAGGGAGAAAACGCACATGTTCCATGGAAAAAACCTGGTCCTACTCAGCTCTGCGGCCCTGCGCCCAGTCTACCCGTGCCCACAAAAAAAAGTTGGCTTCCTCATTTGATTTTCTGTCTCCTTCCTCTCTCTTTGAACAGCAGCATTTCCCGATGTATAACACAAAGACTGTACTTGTAGCATTTGGTGTAACTGATGTGTGTTTGGCCACATTTTTTTCATCTGATTCACACACATCTTTTTTTCTCTCTTAACACACACACACACACACACACACACACACACACACACGTACAACATGTTTCCTCTCATGTTCCCCTTGCGTGTGTCCTCATGTGATCCCTCTGTTACAGCTCTTCCTCCACCCACCGCCCGTGTCACTCTACCCCCATGCCACACCCACGGTCCCCATAGCAACGGGGTTTACCACAGTCTAAAGATGAGTTTGCCAGATGCATATGGGACTGCTGTGGAAATAGTTTGAGTGCAGTTGCCATGGAGACGTGGATAAATGGAACCATACAATGTGTAATTACTCACTGTATGGAGCCTAGCTTTGTGTGCGTGTGTTTCGTTTTAGATTTGCAGTGGTCTTCTCACTTCCTGGCAATAAACTTATTCACAGACACTGTCTCCATGTGAAACCAGTTTGTGTCATAGTTTTCAGGCTCACTTTTTTAGACAGTGTGTTCACATGGCGCTTTTTAGCAAAGGAAATACTGTGTGATAACCCAAACTGCCCCTCCAGGCGCTAAAACAAATAATCGTTGACAGCTGCTGGAAACAAAAAGAGGAAGTCTGAAAAATGATGTGATTTTTTTTTGTTCTGTGATAATTCAGAGTCTAGCTTTTAGTTTTAATCCAAGGGCAAGTACAGAAAAGTGTGTGGGCTGAGTCTGTTTCCAATCATAGAGCTGCTCACAATAGGCTCTCTTGTTTGAGTCTGAGTGGTTCCAATTACTTTGAGACAATAAATAGATTTGTGGGTCAAACGCTGGGATTTTCATTGATTAGCGACACCAACTAAGCGATCTGTCTTTTGCAACAGTCAGGCAAAAGTCAAAAACCATTATGAAGCACCCCGAGGCTACGACAAGACAGATTGTATCTGTGTGTTTTCTCCTCCTCGGGTGGTAGCTGTCTGGGCATGTGGCTTGTCCATTTGATGGTTTGTTTGAGAGAAACCAGAAATGCTTAAAATATGTGGAGGAAGGGAGTCGAGTGTTATGTAACTCAGCAAACGGCTGACTAACACGTAGTTTTCAGTATGAACTCATTCTGCAGGAGGACTTATAGCAGAGGCAGTTTGTAGACTCTCGTTGAGTCAAACTTGGATCAGGTTCTGTGTTTACACTGCATGGTAATCCTGCACATATGTGAAATTTAAGTTTCAGGGACTGTTTACAGGAAATGTGTTCAATGCAAATCAGTTGTTGGGTTTTTCCTGCTCTTTTACACGGAAACCTCACATATGGCATCTGAAAAGGCAAACTTTTATAAACTTGTGGCAGTATGGAAATCTTCTGAATATAACTGAGAACTGGTAGGAGGGCAATAACCACAATGGAGGGCTTGAAGAGGAGGTCTGCCATCATCCTCTTGTTTGTATGTACCCACCGCTCTGTTGATGCTGTACCCACAGTTGGGTGGTGTTCTTCAGTGGTGTTTCATTAAAAAGTTACTCTGCCAGTTTCTGGCCTGGCATGCGTGCTGCAGCATTTTCAGCCATGTTTACCAATTCAGCTTGGTGCTTGATTCTGGGTTTCTTTAATTTGTCTCCATTTTCCAGAAGGCATGAACAATGGCTGCATGCAGAGGTGCCTCTGGAGGAAATTATGCAGATCTAAAACTAATCAAAGAAATGTAGCATGTGCATTACTTATATTTCAATTTTGAATTAAAAAATATAAACTTTTTGTCGAAGAGCATGAAGAAAAAATCTTCCACCTTACTATATTTCACGTCTGGCTCTAATACTCTTCTGTAGTCTATGATGAGATAGATGGAGAACTAGAGGCAGGGAGAGTGAAAAGCTTAACTGAGAAACCATGTGCCCTTTCTTGCTTTCTTTTCTTCTTTTTAGTAATTCCAGTAAACAGTATATCATACTTAAGTGGTAAAAGAGCCCTCTTATGACTCATAAACTGAGATGCTACTCCTCCATTAAGGCTCAGAACAATACCTGCAGTGTTTTCAAATGGCAGCACTAAACGCCGAGACGCTCAGTGGTCCTGTGAAGGAGCGTGGAAAAGAAAAGTAACCAGGAAATCATTGGATCAGCGCCTAGAAAAGCTGTGGTGTTTTGGGTGCATTGGGAAAGCTCTGAGGAGGTTTTCAGAACCTGGTAGAGATATCTCTCTTATATCAGTGAGAGGTATTTATCAGACTAATCAAAAATTTAACTTTAGCTCATTTTTGTGTCACATCAGGATGAAAAAATGCTTTAGAGGTTCGGTGAAACATATGGATGGAGAAGGGGCTATGTAGGTATTTATTATACTGCTTTATGAGGATAATGTACATAATTGTGTGTTTGTTACTCTTCCTATGCAAGAGCGTGCAAATAATCATGTCTGACGATCTATAATTACACATTTCGGGTTAAATCTGTAAGCAGCACAACTATGTCCGCCTATAACTGGTGCAGCTGCTCGCTCTGCACGCTGTATGATTCATACTCCAGCTATGCTGCTTACTGATATGTGTGAGACATCCATTCATAAAAACAACCTTTATAGCTTTACTATGGTACATTACACTGATATGTCTGCAGATTATATGTCTGACAGCCTTTCATGGAGTCGGTGGAAAAGGTTATTATCTTAATGGCACTCAGACTCAGCCAGGTGAGAAGGAGGGCTCTGTGTGGGAGTAACACTGAAAACTAAGTCAGCCACATTTTTGTTCAACTTTATGGTCTATGCAACTCTAAACCATTTGCTACTCTCTTAGTAGGCCTATTTCCATTTTAACCATCTTTAGATGTTTCATTATGAAGTCACCTTGCGTGCTTGATATACCCTTAACCTCCTACTTTCATTCCTTTGTGCCATAATGCAACATTTGCATGGATGTCATATTGCCAAAACCTTACCAATGCTTTTCATACATGCAAAACAACTTTTTAAAACCCTATCTTTCTGGTAGAGTCCCAGTGACTGCAAAATTAAAAAAAAAATGCATGAAGGGACACAGTGAAGGAATGTAAATATTGGTATTTTCTGAGCAAATAGTACACCCAAGAAATCAAGTTGAACCTGTAGCCGACATGTAACAACACAAATGATCCAAAGACACAGTTGGCTTTTGTTTGATTGAATCATGACTTGGTGGTGCTAAATGCTAACGTTATAATGCTAACATTTGCAAACACTATATATAGCAGTTGCATGTACACAGTTGGGAGTGTCAACCATCTGCCTCTGTAATCACTTTATTGCATATAGTTGCAGCATCTATTGGAAAAGGATGAGATTTTTGAATTTTTTTTTTTTTTGTTTGTTTCCAAAGTATTAGTAGCTCTGACTTTATTAAAAGTCCCTTTGAAGAGCAGTCAAGGCAGAACACATCGGCTGAAATGCAGCCATCAAACAATAATCTATGGACAGCAATCAAGCTTTTTAATCAGCTCTAATTTCAAGTAAGCACATATTAATTTTGCTCTAATGAAAGGATAAGTGCCCATCAACCCACATACCGATATCTGCAAACGCAGCTGGAAATCAGGTTGTGGATGTAACTGCTCACCTCCTACAATCTCCCATCTCAAGTTGCCAAGCAATTCTAAACAATGACCACTTTAGGGAAAACAGATTCTTAGGTTTAAATATCTCTTCATAGAGATTACCGTTGCCCTGAAATATTGGTTGTCCCATTCCCAGTGGTGGATAGGGTGCCTGAAATCTAAAGGTACAGATGTTGAACCAGAGAGGGACTTAAGTCTAAGTGAAAGGCAAGTGGGCTTGGTTTAAGTTTTTTAAGAATCATCAAAAACTTCATATAAACCACTGAAGTTTATATTTGTCGTTTTGTCCACCAGTTTCTTTGGAACTGAATGAGCTGTTTAAAAGAGGGGTAAATCCTTACCAGCCAGATCAAGATTTGTTTTAGTGTTGGCAGTAAAGCACCATTTAATGTTTCAATAAGATAAAATTGGTCAGGATTTTGATCATGAGCTCCATTTTTAATGTCCTTCAAAATTAAGTCCCTTCAAAGAAGAACAAGGTTCTCAAACAAGGTGGTACAGTGCCCACAAAGATGCATCTCTCTCAAAATTTGAATTCACCTCGAAAGTAAAACTGCAGCTTTAACATCCTTTGTTGCAAGCTTGCACTTGATGTACCTCACTTCCTTTTTGCCCTTCCTCTGTCTTGAGGTTTTTCAGCACGTTGGCAACCATGTGCTTCTCTGCCTCTCAAAGTTTTTAACCTCTTACTTGTTCATTAAAAATCTAAACATACTAGCACAGTAGTACCAAATTTCTTCCCCGTTTAATGCTTATTAATGCAGACTGTTGAAGTAATGAACTGTGAAAGTATTATCTGGGTGCTGTGAATCATCACCTGCCTGAGGCACCCTTTTCTTTTCTCTTCTTTGCCAGGATTTGTACTGATGTTTCGATGACGTTACTCATTTGTGAGAGTTGCGGTGCCTACAGATGAGATCCTGTTTACTGTGTTTATGACAAGAGACCAAATAAATACCTCCTTGTTATAGCACAGATGACACAGACTGAGTTTTTCTGAAAGCTTCTTGAACACCAAGCTTTTTCTTTACAAGAGTTTGAGACAAAATACTCTTGAAGGCCGCAGTAATCTGAACTAATTAGTCACACCTGGTCAGGTATCTGCCTTTGTCAGTGTCTATATCAGCTCTGTGAAACACTCAGGTCAGTATAGCGTATGAAACATTTGCTTTTGCTTTTACTAACTGTTTTGCAGTGTGAGCATTTATATGTTTGACCACTCAAACCATTATGAAGGAGACTATTTTAGCATTTATTTCAGACTGTAGACTTTTATTGAGACTGTAGCACAGACTGGAACTAAGAGTTGATGTGGAGGTATGTACTTCGCCATTTTTGGGCTTAAAGTGAACATTTTTGGTGGGAAATGTGGTTGAGTAAAAGTGTGACTGAAGTGCAGATAACCCCTGAAAATACCATGGCACTGTAGTCAAGTATTACATCTTTGTTTCTGTGCTAACAACCCTGCATATCCCTGAGTTTCTAAATTATACTCTAGATGAGTCCAGAGATTACCAAACAGAGGCTTGTTGTTCTTTTTCAAGCAGGAAAAAAAAACAGTCCGTTAAACTATCAACACTGGATTATATATGTGCTCCAGCCTCTACCTCCGGTTGTAACAGTTTCTTTCTCGTTGTAGTTATAACTCACTCTCTTTCAAATGGCCTCAAGGCATTTACTCACACTCACACATTTACCCAGTGTTAAAGAGGAAGATTTATATTTATGTGTTGCCACATTTTCCCCTGGTAACCACATGCTTCAGTCACTATCTGCTGCAGCCGAGCCACAGATAGAAAGAAATGAGCAGGTACAGTGTGTTTCCATAGAGACCACGCTATTTAGACACTAAACTAAAACACGAGGACTGACGTGCCCTCTTTTCCTCCTACTCTGGCTCCTCCTCCCTGAACAGTAGGCCGAGTCTTACCCACACTGCTCTGCATTACTATCACAAACATCAGCATATTTCACTTTGAAGTGTGAGTCACAGACGGATAAAGAGCCCACTGTTTTAAGTTTGGACACTGTTATATTACATTTCTAATCCTCCAGAGTCATTATCAAAGCACATAAGGTCTCCAATCAGTCCATGTGGTCCAATAGCACTGCACAAAAACTTTCCA